AAAACAACGCACACACGCGGCCAAGAAGCGTCAACACACACACATTTAGTCTCAGAACAGGGTGTGGGTTAACAACCAATTGACACCGACACAAGCGCGAAGGGACGAGCGCGATAAACGGTTTCGTGTGTAAATGTTGCCAGGAACACGCAGTGGTTCCAAGAAGGGCACGGCGGTTGTACCGGCAGACTCTTTTATGTTGAATGGCTACTTGGATCGACTGTCGAACATGGCTGGTAGACTCATACGTTGCATCGCTACTTCGATCAACTTCGAACACCGCCGGTATACTCTCATGATGCATGGCTACGGGGATGGACTCCACTTTTCATCAAGAGAGAAGCCGGCACGACACACTTCATGTTTTCACCGACTATACAGGCATTGCATGCGCTGCAAGCGAAGTCCCCCATCATAATCTACCCGACGAGTCACACAGGGAGAGTCGCTGTTTCTGTTGTTGGTGGTGGGGGGTACCTGGTTCCCCTGGGAGGCCAGGGTGTTCTCCATCTGATCGAAACGCCACGGCTCAATGTAAACCCCGTTCTTGTCCCTCGAGGCCTGCAGCATCGACCGGAGGCTCTCCACCTGCCGACCACACAAGCGAACAAAGCACGCAGGACTACTTAGCTCGACCCTGCGGTCTACCTAGCGCGTGAAACCACCCAGCCCGTCAATAACTACGGCACACCAAGGAGAGAAAAAAAAGAACAAAAGCACGAAACGACATTATTGACAGTACTGACAGCATGGCACGGATGGACAAGCTACAAATTACTGACAAACGCAGCCACAGAGATGAGACACAGAAAACACTTCGCGGTCACAACGCCCCGCACAACCTCACCCCGAGGCCAAGAGCCTAGAACCTCGCAACGATAATCACACCGGGGTTCAACCCTCCCCGCTGGAGGACGCGTGGCCGGTGGTACAGCCGCTAAGGAACACTTACAAAACATGAGAGTACGCCCCCCCCACCGGTTTCGAGGCCCTATTGCGACCAACGGCATGAGTCACCTCGCCGGCATATTCCTTGAGAAGATGAGTCTTGCTGAGCTTCTGGTTGGCGACCGGCTTGTTCTGGATGCTCTTGGCCTTAAGGGCGTAGTCCAAGGAGCTCAGGGTCTCTTCCAGCGCATCCTGCATCCAAACCAGAGGGGTATTCCACATGGTCGTGTGAGTTTCCACGGAACATGCGTACGGAAGCAGCCGACGGATGTTCGCTCGTGGCACGAGAACATGCCTTAGGGGTGGTGTAGTCGAAAAGCATACTACCCAACAACAACAGCAGCAGCAGCAGCAGCAGCAGCAGCAGCAGCGATGGCAGACTGGTCCCTGAAGCGATGGGTTGTTGCGAGAGAAAATAAAAATGGTTCCCCGTCGCATGCAATGCATATATATATATACAAGGTCTCCCTTCGGGACGTGGGTGTCTACCCTCCCTCAGGCGACACAAGACCACATGCGCACTGTGTGTCTTACAACGCTACGCTTGTATTTCCGCACAAAACATCGCGCACGTTGTTATTCTACATTGGAGCCAGCTCGAGCGGACAATATTCTGGCAGCGAAAACTCAGATTTCCATGATGTCTTTGATTGATGATGGCAGATTTCCGATGAGAACCGAATTTCAAGCCGAAACGACACCACAAATGGGACATGTTCAACACTGCCGCTGGATGTGCATGCTCTCAGACTTGTCTACACTTGGCCCGCTGCGAAGTGTAGTAAACGTAGGTACTGCTGTTGGACAATGCGATGACACCAAGACTCACAGCCATGAATCATCGAATGAATGAATGAATGAACGAATGAAAGTGGAGAAGCAAGAGGCAAATATTTCAAACCGTCGTATTTGATGGGTTTGATAGGTTTCAGAATTGGTTCGCCAGGCTTTGTCAGCGCGGAACGCGTCCCCGGGGTTTTGAGCCAGTTTTCGCAACTTTGGCCGTCAACCACACGCGCCACGGAGGCCTACGGAGCTCCGGGCACGGGCGTTAATGTACCGACGAGCCTCCTGCGTGCTCCTGAGAAGGAACCGCGAGAAAAGACTCGCTGCCGCGAGAGAAAGAAACGCCGAAGCATGAAAAGTGACCAAATCCTATATGTACATATATGCACGTAACGGCCCGCTACCCCCCCCGAGTCTGTGTCGAGGCTAAATTTCATTTTCGCCGCCACCGCCGACCACAGGTGGTTACATAGCCTTGCACGTAAAGATCCACGCCTGAGCTGTCTTTCGCATATCCCGATTTTCTAATTTCCGTGGGGCTTTGAGCCTTCTCCCTCTATCTTCAGTACAATCGGGGCGAAGCAATATCACAACAAATGGAAGAATAGTCTATTTGCGGTCCCGCTCTGTACATCACACAAACGCGAACGACATGAGCACTCACGGAGGAAGAGGTGACCGTGGCGATGATACAGGTCTTAGCCCTTCCCCCGAGGCTCTCCTGCAGCAGCCTCGTCAGCTTAGAGTCCCGGTAGGGCACGTGTGGGTGGTGTTCCACGAGGGCGGTGATGACCCTACCAAGCGTCAGCAGGCTCTGGTTGATATTCCCCGCCTCCCTGGCCCTGACGTTTTTGGCTCCCGACCGGCCCACGCACTCCGACCTTGAATGAAGCATTTTTTTTTTTGTTGTTGTTATTATTGTACAAGGATAAAAACGAAAGGTTCGACGAAGGAAGGCAGGCTGAGGGCACAACGAAGAAAAAAGAAAGAAAAAAGAAGGGGAGATTCAAGAACGCACGCAAGACTTCAAGAAAAAAAATGCTAGTAGTGGGGGGAACAAAACGAACACATGCCGAGCACGAAACCAAAAAAATTAACAGTACAAGAACCACGACAAGGGGCCAAGAAAGCGCGAGAGACAATAGCAGTTGGTAGCAGTGACAATGGATCTCTTCCTCTTGGAACACCATTTGCCTCTATCTCTTAAAAAACAGAACACTAGAACCCTGCAAACAGCCTCAACAACTACCCAATATTGAGTGTCCCTGTCCGAATCAGTGAGCTCGAATGCCACAAAACGTCGCTGCTGTGGAGATGACCTTAAAACGGCGCGAGGACGACCATTTCCTCTTCCCACAAAACGCTACACCACTATAAAAAACCCAACAACGGCGTGTGTGTCGGGCCTTTCGGTCTTCCTCACCCCGCAAGGTCCACCAGGTTGAGCTGCCCGTTCCGCATCACCTCCTGGCCGTCCGGCATGCACTCCTTGATCATGATCTTGAGAGTGAAGATCGAGTGGCTCCTCGAGGAGTTCTTGTTCATGAGCGTGGCCGCGGTCTTCCGCTGCTGGATGCCCTTGCCGAGGATGTTGAAGATGTCCTTGGCGGTCAGCACCTGCACCTCCTCCAGGCCGCAGCACACAACGCCTGCCTCGTGGAGGAGACGCAATTTTTTTTGATACAGAGGTTTAGGCACCGGTGCACCGTCTTCTATTCAATGAGAGGGGGGAGAGGTGCGCTGTCTTTGTACATGGACAAGTCCGTTCTAGCCCCCGTCCAAGTAGGTTATTCATTGTATTATACCAACAACGTGGGGCAGGAGATTCCACAAGATTTCAGCACCTGTCTCGATACCTTTTTCAGGCCGCCGCCGAAGGACGCCCCTGCCCAATCTTGGCTCTCAACTCCATCAGTTTTCTGTCCGAGGACATCAAGTGTTCATCTCTTCCAACGGTGGGACACTCTCGCTCCACTTGTTTAACGACAACAACCGGTTTGTACGGATGGGGGGTAATCCCTACCCCCTCTACAACGTATCATTGTACGGGCGTTTGTAATAACGCGTGTGGTAAAAAGTAAGCGCTAGGTCCAGCAGAGCATCCGCACCAGCGAAACACCATGAACATCGTCGTGTGCTAACGCTGAGCAAGACAAGCAGCGGAAAACATGGACAGAAAAGCGCCTCGAACAACAGGCAGGCCACATGAAACAACTGACCGCGAATAGCACCGCGGTGCCAACGTCGTGTTCTGTTGCTCACCGCGCTTGCTGTCTTCCCGCAGGACCACCTTACTCTTAGAGCTACCATCAGCGAGAAGGTCCGCCAGCTCCTGCATGACGGTGGCCGCAAGAAACAAGGGTCAAAAAAGAAGAGCCCAGCAGCACGCGAGAACCAAAAACAAGACGTGATGTTGTGAACCGCAAGTCGTCGGTTTGGCGGGTGATACCACAGGCGGCGAGAGTGAGCAAGCCTGCCATCACGGTGCGGTACGCGGACGGATGTTAAAATGACCGCTTGACACCATCGAAAGCATTGTCAACGCCGAAAGCAACATCGTCTCGACCATCAACGGAATAGACCACCGTCCTTCAAGCCGCAAGGATTTTTTATCCCTCTGCGGTGCATGCCTTCACAATATCGCGGGGACGAGTTCAGCAATCCTCTCCCTTGCGTTAAAAAGCAAAAAAACAGCTGTCACCACCATCATAAACCCAGGTACACAGCGGAAAGACGCCCCTTCCTGAAGTTCTCCAAGCCTAGCGGCCACAACGAAGGTTTTCGAGGTATTGTAGTAACTATTGAATAGACCCCCAACGCTACACCGACATATTTGATATACGAGCCTGCCTGCTAGAATTAGGACTCAGTATCGCGACGGCTACATGCACAACACCCCACCTCGTTGTAAAGCTCTAGAAACGACGTCCGGACGGTGTAGTCAGCGCTGATGCCGTCCAGATAGTCGAAGATCGCGTGCACAGACCGCGGAATCACGCCCATACCCTCAGCACTGGTGATGTCCCCCTCCATCTAACCGCCCCCCAACCAACGAGTGGACGCAAGTGAATTGTAAGTAGGTCAGTCAGTGATACATCAAACAACCTCCTTCCCGAGAAATCTAACTGGCCCCAGGCGGCGGACGCAGGAAGGATTGATCAGTGATATCGGAACAAACCCGTTCCCGTTAAATCTAGCCGGCCCCAAGCAGCGGGCCCAAAATAACTAGTTCGGCCAGTGATACAACGAAATAATCATGTTCCCGAAAAAACTCCTCCCAAGCAAAGAGCAACATGTCGTGGGGTCGGTCCGTTCACGAAGCCCGAAGAAACGAGGCTCTTTCACCCACGTACAAACTGTTCATGGACAAGGCCAAAACCGGGTTACTTGCTGCCGAAACAAGCTCTCGAGAAGGACTTCGTTGATCTCGATCGACTCAGACGTTGCGAGATAGCAGCGTTCGATGTTTGAAAGCAGACACGAGACGTTTGCGACATGGCGAACATCCAATTACCTACCGACACTACAAGAGAAAATGCCAGAAGTACAACACTCTTTCCTCTCCTGCGACCGTGCCGGTTTCCCACCCCAGGTGCAACCTGGGTTTGAACAATCCTTCCACTCACCGTGTGTGTCTTTCCTGTCCCCGTCTGCCCGTAGGCAAACACGGTGGTAGAAAACCCCTGAAAAAAAAAAAAAATCAAGAATTAACCAATGTGCAGGGCAGCAAGGAGGAGCACCCGACGCAGGGCTTGTTGAGGGGTCGTTCGAAAAAAAGGCAGATCGAAATGCAATCAGCGACGGACACATCAGGCAAAAGCTCTTCGCCACCTGAAAAGCATCAACTTGCAACTGCGGCTGCCCTACAGGGTTGCACTTGACGCTGTAGTGCGCAGTTGGGAACCTCGCCACCTTGCTTTCCACATGAAAGACCAACGAAGACTTTGCACCAGCGATACAAGATAGTGACCATTCCGTCGTTCCATGCCGGACGACAGCTGCTGCTGCTGCTGCTGCTGCTGTTGTCGTCGTTGTTGCCTTCACATGAGAAGGTACAGGAATAATTCAACATTCCGGCAGCGGCGGCGGCATCCCTTGGTGGTTACGGGGGAGAAACACCGACACAATGTTTTTGCACAACATCTACCATCTATTTTGGAATACGCTATACCTGAAGCATCTCGCGTACGATCGGCTCCACCGTGGACACGAACACCTCCTCCTGGGAGGCGAACGGCCCGAACACATGGTCGTACTGGTAGGTCCGGTCCAGCTTCTTGTGAGCCACGCGGATGCGGTTGTGGGAAGGCTCCGTATTGACCACGTGGAGGTTTCCCGACGCCTTCTCCCTGCCGTACAAGGCCCAAAACAAGGCCCACACAAAAAGCTACACCTCAAAACGATGCTCATGGCCTGACAGCTCTTACATCCCCATACAGTAGTCGTGGCTCCGATATAAGAGGGTGGTGTGGCAAAGGCCTTCGACTCTCTTGTATCGAAGCCCTCACTTAGACCGGAACAATGTGGGTACCCAACTGCTTACTCCTTACTTAGCGGGGTCGAGTCCGTGACAACCAATTTTCGACCCTCTACTGCTGTAGTATAGGAGCCACGATTACTGCTGTACTGCAATATTTCATCTGTAGACTAGAGAGGTACAAAGCGAGGATACACCACCAAACAGCAGGTCACAATCGACGCGCCCGCAGTTTTCCCATTGTCACGTTGTTGGGGTGAAAATCAGCGGCCCGACGCAAACAGGGACGCGCGCCAAGAAAACGCCTACAACAGCAGTACATAAATAGCTGCACCCAAGCAGGCAAAGGACACCAAGCTTTTTTTCTGTTGTTGCATAGCGTTGGGTGGTGCGAATCGAGTCGCTGTTGTAGGTCACAGCCGTGTTTTGACCAAAGGTGCTTCGGCAGCAACGATTATGTAGGTCTACAAAAGCACGCCTGACAGCACCAGATGCTATGTTTCTACAAAAAAAAAGATGCTTTCGCAAAGAGGGCTCGCTGACTTACATACAGTACTCGCAAATAGGAGAACCCGTCAGCGCTCATTACTCTAAATAGCGGACAAACGTCGGCGGAGCAGTACAGCAGTCATGGGCCCTCTGAACGACGGGAACGTACCACGCCATTTTCTCCGCAGGAGAGTGCACACCCGATAACATGATCATTTTTGATTGTTCTATTTGTGCCAGGAGTTTCACCCGCCCAACACACCAAGCCTACCCGCCCGATAACTTCTCTCGGATGTTGATCATCGCTGCAAATCGAACCCGCCATTTGTGTCTAATACAACTCTTACGACAGCAGTGCTTCGTCAACTAAATCTTCACATGCAGACACTATGGCATGCTGTTTCTTTGCTACCATGGGATGCCTGCTCTGCTGCCCCCAAACACTTGCGCCCGCTGAGTCGTGTGTCGTGAGCCGCCCTACATGGTTGCAGCTAGCAGAAGGCGCGTCAGCACCGAGTCAAACTGCCGCCAGGGATCGCAAGACGGACCAATGTATACCTCGGTTACAACATGAGCGTTTGGAAGAGTTTGGTGCGGATACTCTATCTTGTGAGACCTGTACGATACATCGGCTTGTCGTCGGGATGAATACAATCAATCCCTCATAACCGTGATGCAATTAACAGACCGCTGGCTTGCTGTACTTCCGTACAATACTGCTGTCCACGGGGCATGTGGGGAGCTCACGCTTGCTGTTTTTCAGAACAAAAGAGGAGAGCGCGCTTTCGATACGGCAATTTTCGAACACTGCTGTCGGAGCGCCGGGGTGAAGGTATCTGCGGGAAGAAAACTCTCTACAGCGGGTGGAGCCAAGGGGATTGCTCGTCAGCTCGGGTGAGCAGGTGGGAGCTGCATCTGGCTACGCCGACGACGGTGTCGCCGCAGTTGTCAGCGGTCAGTCCAAATGGTATGTTCACAAGTCGGCGTGCAGCAGAAAACCCCCCCACCCGAGGCTGCACAGCTACAACAGAGCAGAGCTTTTCTTCGGATGCCACCAGCCAGTTTCAGTGTCGATCGTTCACACGTCGCACTTCTGCGTAGTGCTCACGCCAGGGTTTATCGTCCTACTTTAGTATATTCTTCTTTGGCCACAGCACCGACACAGACAGGAGCATCCTACAGAGGAGGGAGGCGGCCGGCGGCAGCACCGTTTTCGAAGCGCTTCTCCTGCTGGCAGATGACACCATGTATATAAAATGAGTCCGCGGTTTGCTGCTGGACACTATGCACATCGTACAGCGGCAGAAACGGAGGCCCAAAAACACACCTGCTATTGAGTGGGCGGCATCTCACTGCGACCTGAACGTTCGTGCCCGTCGAGCTCTCCTTGTCGGCCATCGTCCTTCGCGCCAAAACAGCACCTCGGTTGCGTTGCGCTTGCTGCTGTGACGTGCACCGAGCCCCGAGTTCGCCGAAGTCAATTGCGCGTACGCCTTTCGTTCCCTCTCGGACCCTGCCGTCTTGCTGTGCTATTCGCCACCGCGCAACGTGCTTTCGTTGGTGCTTGCACAGCCGTGTGCGTTTTCAGTCCTCTCCTCTTTGCCTCTTTGCTGCTCGGCGTGGGTCGTTGCTATTGCGATCAATGTGGCAGTTGGTTGATTTACGGGGCTACCCTCCCTCTACCTATCGAAAAAATATGATTCAAAAGGGGGCGGGGGGCGGGGGCGGGTTCCAAACACGCCTCGGTGGTGAAACTCCGTTTTGAAACTGCCACGCCAAAATCATTTGTTGGCTGGTCGGCCGGACGATGTACATGTGGTGTGTAAGGACGAACCTGCCCACCACAGAGAGGCACGTTAACTGGGAAAGGAGGAAGGATCAGAGAGCACCTGGTGGCCAGTTGTCGGGACTGGGAGTCCAACAGTCCAGCAGCCTCTGCCATGAGTTCATCGAGCTCACAGGAGGTAAGCACCACAGTTGGCGATGACGAATGCCAAACCAAACCTGAAAAGAACCTCGTCCCTAGCGGCAGGGTTCAGGCATGGTTATGGCCGTCTGGAGATACACGCCGCCTCGTGAGACTTGTGACATCCCGTTCTATTTGATGCACAGTAGATCTATTTGATGCACGGTAGAGCTGTGAGGGTTTAGCGAGTGGTTAGTTTCTTTCCGGTGGGGCTCACCATGGTCGGTGGAAACGTTCAGTCGGGCGTCTGGTGAATCTTGTACCAGTGCTGCCGTTCGTATGCATACAATGTAGACTAGACGACCACGATCTCATACCGTGGGGCATGACAACGTCTCGCTACATATCGAGTTGCAACGCCCGCGATCAGCAACATTAATAGGGTCGTGAGAAATTCAATCATCGTGCGCGTTGCCTGGAGAATTTTTCACCACCTGAAGTTTCTGCTGTGCGTGCGCAACGCGAGGTTTTCCGGCAATATCGACGGACACACTATGTAATACATGTACTTGGATGCATGTATATCCTTCGCTTGTTCTGCCACACGCCTACGGTATGCTGCGTTCCAGCCCCGTTTCATCCTAAAATAATGACTCCACAGCTGAGGTCCTCCTCTGACACGCCATTAGTACCTGGAATCCAGAGTACATCGTCCATTGGCAGCGTGTGGTTCGACTGCGGCCTGCAATCACGTATACAATGTCTTGCGAGGGAGAACAACCTCGCATATGTAGTGAATTGTAGATAGACTGCTGACTGTACTACAAGACGCCAATGACTTCGAAAATCATGACAATAGTGCATCAGCGTAAATACCTCAACGTTGCGCTTTCGTTGGAGGCTTCGCCTTCTACCAGCTCGGTAGATGGACCAACCCCATCTGAACAGATTGTGGTACACACAAACGCAAAGGCAAGTACGTTGTTTCTGCTTGCCTTCGCCTTCTCAATGCTATGCTACCACTGTAGCACATCACAGGCCAATCCACTGCTGGTTTGCAGCACCAGCTTAAGATCTTGATCTTGTTGAAAAACCGAGCAAAAATTACCGGTACATGGGGTGGGTTCCAGACTCGTCCCACTCAGTCGGTAAACCATCATCACAGTCTTGATGGAAACTGACCAGGTCATACCTCATGCATCATTGAGAACATACCTACAACGCAAATCACGTCCATCGTTACGCCCACGCGAAGGGTCGACAACAAGAACGGCTGCAAGAGTTGGAGGGTGTGCTCGACGACAAGGAACAAGCCGTGCTAGCGCTGCAAAAAGAGGTAAGAGGGGCGAACCCGACAACACGTCCGGCACGACCACATTTCATCGAAACCACAGAGTAGCAGGATTTTCGAAGTCGCATCGGTGGTAAGTGACAAGTACGTGAATCGGACGTTGCTACATGTCGACGAATGTTAGAGAGACAACAACTTCTGACCGCTACTTCAAAAACGGCGTCCTGGAAGGCTGGACAACCTTATCCTTTTCCAAGACTCAAATCAAGACCCACCCGAGTGCCCGGTTTTCCATTATTGCTCTTCAGCAAGAACACATCTTCGGCGGACGCCCGACTTGTCTTGGCATGGGGTGGATATCGCAGAGATTTTAAGGGCCCTAGAACCGGGCAAGTGTGTGCAATGTATGAAAGAGAAACTAGTTTTGAGACCAGGCCACGGTCGTGAAGGTTGCTAAACTCCTGGTTGACGTCTTATATCGTGGGCAATAACGGACGAATCAATCTCCTTTGACCTCCCGTGCGTGCTTCGTTTTGGCTGGGTGTCAACTATCTGCTGGAAAAAGGTGAAACGGTTGACTCGGGAGCTCACGTCCGGGGGCTCGGGTGAAGTCCAGAAATCTGCGCACCCTTTAGAGCCGGTGATCCACCTCGTGGGCGACAGCAAAACCAAGCACTATGCCATCGGGTGAGCTGCAGCAAGTAGTAGCCGATGAAAGACACGCCATCACCGGTGATAAGAATGTGGTGTTGGAAAGCAGCAGGAAAGTATAGTTCAATCGCTGGAGGGCGGTATGCTACGCTCTTCTCCTGGGAAGCAGCCATTAATATTCATCGCAAGAACAGAAGGCAACATAGCTAGAAAATCACGAAAACCTAAATTGAGCGATGATGTACCTCTTCCTTTCTTCGCAATTATGTCGAGAGAAAGCAGATGAAGGAGCGATATTGAAAGTTGTGACTGCAAGGCTTTGGAAGTGAGTTGCTGTCGATGCGTGTCGTACCTTTGGTTGTAGCCACCACCGACACGAGGTTGGAGCTCAACATGTCTGCACGGCGTTGAAAGAGTTTCCCGACGCTAGTACCTGTCTTCCTGAACACGATTCTATCTTCCCTCGAATCTTCGTCGAGATCACACAAAACGTGGAGGGGCATGTGAAATGCAATGAGAGGCGAGGCATCGAGGCCCTGCGCTATCGGCACCAGTAGTAGTAGCAATACGCAGAGCTCCCGACAGCCGAGATATGCGCCGTAGACAAAAGATACCTGCCCGTAAGATGTCATGTCTATCATGTCTATCATGTCTTCGTCGCAACGCAGGCGAAGGGTGAGCATGGCGACCGCATCGGCTCTGGAGGACCTCGCACCAATGCAAAGGCGGGATTCCATGGCCAGAAAGATGACCAAAATGTTCAAGACACCCGACACGCATGCGGCCTTCCTAACCTCTTCCCGGTTCGCCCTTGACCTCATCAAGGTGCCGTACTCGAGTTTGCTGTAGGAATTCAAAACAATGCCACAGGAGAGGACAACTTATTAGAATCATGAGCAGGTAATCGGGATCCTTGTGCTTCCTAGGAGAGAAAGGAACCTTTGCGCACGTGCTCGTCACCTCCTCTGTCGTCCGTAGCTAGCGCTGCAGCTTTGACTTTGAAGTTTCGGATCCGAGGAACACTGCCCTGGAAAATCCTTATGTCCCCTTCAGGATAAGGAGTCATTTTGAACGCGCCCTCCTGCTGCCCAGGTGTGCCAGCGGGTGGCCCCGATCTTTGAGGCGGAGCCGAGAGCCGTGCTGCTGCAATCCCCAGTGTACGTGTTCGGGGATATTCATGGCAACCTCGAGGTGAGCTTGAAAGTGTAGAGAATGGATGAATCCTGCTTGATGTAGATATGTGTACAACAACGACTGCCCCATAAACTCGCGACTTGGCTAGGAGGCCCCTCTTTGCGTGGTAGGGGGATGGTGGAACTACAACGGTAAGCTCGACAACGGTCTCCACGGCTCCCAAACGACGTACGATCAGCAGCCCGCTAGATTACACATTTAAATCCTTCGCCGGCCGGGTCATGGTCAACGTCGTCGCCCACTTTGCGTATTTCGGCTCGCCAAAGCCGCACGCTAACCGCACCGGACCTGCTATCTTTTCCCATCTATTCCATCCGCCTGTGTGCCCACTGGGTTTATTGCGCAGCGTTGAAGGAGTTGAAACGCATTGCCTGCGTCGGTTGTCTTGCCTTTCGTCCCCGGTCGTCAGTGGCACCATCTTGGATTATTTTTCGGGGGCTGTTGAACTTGGCAGAGCTGAGGCTTAACGACCGATGGGCAGCGTAATTAGTGTACGATATTTCCCGGTCGCAGTAAATATACGGTGCGGTATGTCCTCACCAGAAGCTCCAGGGATAATTTTCTGTGAGAAGGGTGCAGAAACCCGCACCTGCAAGTACATTTAACTAAACACGAAACGTGGTTATTCATATCCGCTATTGTCCCTGCCTTCCCGATACCCGCCGCTACCATAACCTATCGTGGCTCCATCCAGGATCTTAATTTCTTTGCCGACAATATGTGGAAGCTGGGGATGAATGTAACCGCCGGCAAGTTTCTGTTCCTGGGAGACTACGTGGACAGAGGGATGCAGGGTCTGGAGTGTCTGGCCTACCTGTTTTCCCTCAAGGTAAGGGAAGTTCGGGGAGGTATCGGACACAACGATGCTGCAACGCATGTGCAGCAAACCGAGCCTACGCCTCTCGTTTGCGCGCCCGACGATGTTTAGAACAACCTTTCTGTGTAGAACTTTTAATGGAGGTGCACATTCACTCTCATGCTGAAAAGTGGCGTCCCAGCATGGACAAGGCAAAACGTTTGCACGCGAGGCACGTCGATCGCAGCACCCTTCACCTTGACTTGGCCTCTGTGCCCGGCTTGTAGCTATGGTCTTCGCCTCCATTATTCTATCTACCACATTCCTGTCTCTGCGCTCTGACGGAGGTGAAGATGACCAGCCAGGATTGTCGTCTAGTCCCGGTACCGATGTTGTTGACATCTCGGTAAGGTCCACCCCTGCTGCCTTCGCGACAGATCGAGAACCCCGACAAAATGTTCATGCTCCGGGGCAATCACGAGCTGAGAGACGTGAACGGCTGGATCGAGCACTACGGGGAGAGGTCATTTTTGTGGCAATGCCAGGTGTGCGTTCGCGCCAATGTCGAGACCTACCGCAGTACACGCATGTGATCCTCCGGACTAACCAATATCTGACATTCGCTTTCGGTCTTACCCCAATACGACAGGAGACTGATTCTTATTCGTTTCAGTTGCGTTATGGCCTTAGTCGACGTGAACGTTGCTTGGCTGTGTCTCATTTGCAACGCTACTCGAATGTGTACTATGTGTCCCTGCCTCCAGCGTTACCCTGCTATACTTGCCTGCCTGAATGTGCTACAACAAGTGATGACTCAACGGTTTGCTCCCGAAATGCCGTCATTGGTGCTATTTCTCGGTGCACCGCTGGACTCCTTCCTCCCCGCGTTTACCTTCCTCGGTCAGAACCGTTTCGGCGAGGCTCTTGGCGAGAAAGTGTGGGAGTCTTGCAACGCCGTCTTCGACCGGCTGCCTCTCGCGGGGGTGATTGATCAGGACATATTTTGCGTGCACGGCGGCATCCCGCGCCCGCTTGAGGGCTCGACTTCTCGTATACAGGTCAGCCCCCCGGAAGATCCCATCTACATAGTAATAAACCTCGAAGTGAATGAGTACGGCAAGAGCACTTGCTATTTATCAATTTATGACTATCTGCTTCCGGTCGCATTCGCAGTCTCCAAACCGGAACAACCTCGCCGCGGTCGGTGGGCGGAAGATGAAATAACTTCTGGAACGGAAGCACCATTTACGTGACCCTTGGTGTGTTAATCCCCAGGACATCATGTGCGTGCCGCCGGTGGCGAGCGTGTGCCCTCCGAACGAGTGCGAGACGTTCGAGTCACAGCAGGTGGCCTCGGACTGCATGTGGTCAGACCCTGCTAAGGACGAGCAGGTAATATGGACGCATCTCATTGTGAGGCAGGGTAGCCTTCGAATGAGCGGTTGGTTTAGGCGCCACTCTCTGACATCGATGCCTCAATAGTAAATCAGTACTTTTTTTCGATGTGGTCAGATCTCGTTGCAAGGGCACCAATCTTGGCTTGGAACCTGACTTCTCCCCTTCTCCAGCTTTCCCCCTTTCGTTTGATTGCCGCGTTTGCTGATCCTGGTTTTCTGCTTGCGTGGTGTGCCACGTTTTGAGTCCCGTGTTTCAGATCTTGTGTTCGGTCTCTTACCTGAAAGCTAGCTTTCGTCTTGTTCTGAACTTCGTGAACTGATTTCACATGGGAACGTAGGAGTTAGCCTTGGAAGATTCAGGATTCGGCGAAAGCTTGCGGGGAGGTGGAGCAATCTGCTTCGGTACGAAGGCGATCGACGATTTCCTCACACAGGGCAACCTCAGCTATATCGTGCGCGCACATGAAGCACATTCGGAGGGGGTGTCATTGAGCAAGGGGGCGAAGGTGCGCGTTTAGGCCCCTCCGTTTTGCTCGAAACTTGGTACGGAGATGTACATAACGATCCTCGGAAGCGTGTCGACAATGGTCTTTGCCGCATTTCTTGTAGATGGATGGATGGATGGGACCTTTCGAGAGTACTGCATGTACAATGCAGCTATTGGAAGCAGCGACGAACACTCCGAAACGGAATATGATACATGCGGTTCGTCTCGACTAACCCGCCAAGGAACACGGAGAAACAAGGGTATTCCTCCCAAGCTAGACTATCACGAACTGTTTCTTGAACGACGTTTGGTAGCATGCGTATCAACGGCGAGCTTCTTCCGACTGCTATTGCGTTAGACCTAGCCAAGTGTCGTACACGGCGCAGAAGGCAGCAACCACAGCATGGACGGCAACAGGCTCCGACCAACGAACCATGACAGACCAACTTCGCTTTTATCGCACAAATAAGCATTTGCCTATGGGTTGTTTTTGTTAGGTGTTCACGGTCTTCTCGACGTCCAAAGACCACGGTCAGGGCAAAGGCGCGACCTGCGGCTGCATTCTTGTGGACTACTACCGCCTGCTGGTAATTAACCGATCGGTCAAGTACAAGAACAAGTACGTACACCGCAGGGACAGCATGTCCCTGGCAAATCTCACCCTGCAGGAGCTCCAGGCCCAGGTCGACCTCGGCCTGGTGGTGCAGCCAGACTCCGAGGACGAGGTAAACATCGAACATGGTACACGGAGGACATTTGTCTATCAAGAGAATCGAGAAAATATCGTGAAACATGGCATCGTTTCTTTCTCGCTCTTATCCCTCCGTGATTCTTTGATCGAATGCCACAAAGACGCCGACTATTTTCCGTTTGCTCGAAGGAGAATTCTGCGTATGCGAAGGGAAAAGTGGAAGTGTTGACCTCAGTATCATATTTGATAATCTCATGTGTGCTTGAATTTACTTGTCAATGTTCCCAGCCTTACACATGGCAGACTTGTCAAACTCAGGGCAGTAGTAGGCCGGAGGTTGGACGCCGACCGTCGTCACGTTCTCTCTTGCTTTGGTACGGATACGTGATTAAAAATAAAAGCCAAGTTCTTCTGCTGAGCACCATGAAGGATTGTTGAACATGGGACGCCAATTTTCCACCGTACGCGACGAACGAGTGCCAGTTCTGCAACAATTTTTTACCCTACTGTAATAACTCTTCGCTCTAGTTGAAAGAAAACTCCCATTCCGATGAGCCGCAAGCGACAGAGACGCCTTGCGATAGCGTGAGCTGATGCGTTTTCAACAGACATTGTGAGGCCGCGAAAACCCGCAAATACCTTAAACTCTTCGAACAAAAGATGCACACCTTTGGTGCAACATTCCAAAACGTTGGTGGCCTTCACATCGGAGCAAAGCGATATCAAATGTGCTTGTGTCTGTCGATGAAGTGATACGGAGAGCAATCGGCCTACATGAGACGCGTTCGACACATCTCAATCCGTTGCCGGCGTGTTCGTCGTTAATGCGTGGCAGAGCGACGACGAACCCGCGGGATACTATGACCATGCAGCAGGGGAGGATGACATGATCGAGCGAAAGAGCGGGGGGAAATGAAGTACCTCTCGTGGAAACAAATAGAGTAGCAGAAGAACCGTGGCATCACTGATATCGCCACGACAGGATTGGTTCATATCAACCACGTTTGTTGTGATATGTAGTCCGAAAGTGGGCTACAGGCTTTTCGTGGGCACGCTCGAGGTGTTGTCAGAGTAACGTATTCTGACTGGGGACCATGCCTGGTGCCCTTCCTCGCTTTCTGGTAGTCGAAAGGGTATGTTCTGAATTCCCTGCCGGATCTCTCCTTCCGCAACCAGGTAAAACCTCAAGGCAGCAGTATCTTGACGTGAAAAAAAAGGATTCCAAGGGAGACTTGTAGTGAAAGTCATTTATCGTGCTCCCGGTGGTGTTACTCTTTGTCATGAAGAACCGTACTTTGTCGTAGTAGCGCCGTTCCTTCCGCCGTATGAAGGGCGTACTGCTCCATGTATCTTGTGCCTTCGGTGGACACCTATCCTCTCTACTTCCACGTGGGAATTCACTTCTGTAGCAACGTAATGAAGGTTTGGCCCATCTGCAACTCTGCAGAAAGGTCCTGTAGAGCATCGGCTGCGGATATCTAGAAACTTCATTAGGTATCAACTCTATGACCATCACGCAGCAATAGGGGCGTTCTTAAGGGCAACGGGGTGTCCAACTCGATTGTCTAGCGTACTTGGCAGTTCATGTGTTAGAGGCTCAATGCCGTATTTATCGCATTTAATGTTCATGTTGTCCGTACTTGGAAGAACTCCTACTCCTTGCCGCATTGTAGGAAGTAATGAACCGCAAAAGAAAAGTCAGTGTGGCTTAACCTCTCGTCGGAGCTCTTCACCTGGGCGGCAAGGCGGTACCGAACGTAAACTGCGACGAGCTGCTAGGCAAGAGACGGTTTATGGTAGGAGTGTAACGTTGGCTTATGTTCTCGTTCTCCGCGGGGATCACCAAGGATTTCTCATTGCTACCGGCCAGCACACTTTGGAAGCATGCGCCTGTTTCACTAGGAGCCATCTGCTGGTGTCTTTTGCTTCCATGTCGTCGCATGCGTTTGGGACTCTAGACTAAGGCAGCGATGTCGTGACTCTGAAAGACGATGTATGGTAGCTACATGTTTGTCTGTGTCATCTTTGCTGGGTGCTAGTTTACACCCTCTCGGTATATGCAAGAGACATCAGCATGTGGTCAAACCAGAGGAATTCTCCACCTTCCTCCAGCAGCGCCTGGCTTCAGTTTTTCATACGAGAAGGGCATATCAGCCCCCATTGTAACCCGTGAACGTTCACAATAAATGCATTTTTTCCCGATTTTCACTCCGGAGGGATTCGAAGCCTCATCCCAGATCCCGACGTTTCCCGACCATCAACTGAACCTCTCATCCAGTTGAGTGTCACCAAACTTTGCAGTACGCCCTGAGTGTAGCTCCGAGGGGACGGCGAGGTGAATAAGCAGGCCGCGTTTCATGTGTTCGGCTTAGTCGTTTTTTTTTTGTCTCGCTAAACACAAGGCACCATGCTTTCATTTCAGTCCCAGGGCGTTCGTGCCGTGACGCCTACCTGGTGTGTTGGGAACGTACACGCGAACACAGAAAGAAGAAATAGGCGTTCGAGATATGGCCACAGTGGATAGGGATGTGGTCAAGTCTTGCAATGAGTGGGAGCAAAATTCGGCTCTCGCTCTGGTCGTTTCTTGTTATTCCGCACAACAACATTTGGGCAAAATGCCGCACACGCCTGCATCAAGATTCCTGCGCCGACGACAACCTCGCGAAGAGGAATCCGGCGTGAGGTCCGCGCGGAGCTTCGATTTGCGAGCGTGTACATTCCATGTACGTATGGCTGTGGCCGCTCAAGTGCTGTGTGCGGGATCTCATGAATGAATGCCGATTCCCCCGCAATGCGGAGGGATTGGTCCCGATTCGCAAAAACAATTCGAGGGAAGCAGGCGACACGGAGCATGCACACATACCCACACGCCGCCGGGATCTCTCAGAGTCCTCACACACAGGCCCCGCGGGGCATTCCCTCACACGAGCGGCTCTTGTCGAACATTCAGCAGTCTGACAACAATCGTTTCTCTCGTCCAATGAAGTCATCGACAACACCGAGGACCCGTACCTCGACGTTAGGAAATGGCGACGGCGACCAGCGCCGTAGGTGAGCCAGGAACAATGAAGAAGGGTCGATGCAGTGTACTTCTATATCTGTAACCCTCATTCTCTGTCCTCGTGTCCCAAAAATAGGTAAAGACTTTTCCCTGAATAAGAAACAAGGCGCCATCAAGTGGCCGTTGACACTAAGAATGCCACCTGCGGCGCACAGAGGCAAGATGCATTTCACAGCTACGTTGTATCCCGGGTTACGTTGTGATAACCGAAGCTCGGGAGTTGGATAGTTATAAGCTAGACAGGCGCTCGGACGATGTTGCAGTATTGCTACAACAACCACAAGCAGTGCCGTACCTGACGTACTGCGAACATCGCACTGTTGAGTTCTTGGCCTGTGCGCATGTATCATGCTCGGTTTTACACCTCAGTAGAGTAAATATGCTAAATATTTCCATGAGCTGTCTCGTACAAAAAAGCATGTGCTTTCAGGATTGGATCCGTCCCCGACTCAGAATCAACAGTAGACCGCCATTACGGATTACTCGCTCAGTCGCCGGTGTGCGTACTGTCCACAGATCGATATATTCCTGAGAGCTATGCATATCTTGCGTGTTGAGTGTAGACTAGTGGGTCTCGGCTACAATATTGTATCTTCAACAAGAAAACAGCACTGGTTGGCAGCTCCCATTCATCCCTCCTCCTGCAACCGGGGCGCTACTGAAATCGACCCCGGAGTGCAACAAGAGCTTCTCGAGATCCTCGAGGTGACTCACTATTGTACTTCAAAGTAGTGACCACCGGTGAGCGTGGAAACGCGTCATGCTTCTTTTTTGGCACTGCCCCTGTTTCTTGTCTCCAGCTCCAACAACCGGGGGTGCTTCAGGTAACTCCGTAGAATGTCTCCAACCTCTATTCATCGCAAGCAACCGTCGGGAGAATTTTATGTATAGATAGTCTCGTGTTCAGCTGATGTCGATTTTCGACCACATCCACATCAGGTGGGCATGGCAGAGCTTGCCCGTCCTACAGCTCCCACCTGTCGAGGTCGGGGCAATTGATTCACCGTCAAACAACAACAACGGAGAATTGCTTAGATCTCGACCTCGGAGCCTCTTGGCGAGAGTGGAGAATCGCATCCTTCAAGTAAAAGAAGACAACCAAGTGGAGAGCGCATTGAAAACGGCAGAACAGGTTCTTCACCTCCGACGAAAGTGAGACACGAACACTTGGCTGGCTCGTTTTCCCGTATCCTGGCCGTGACTCTTGCCACGAAGAGGCCTCGCACTTGTAAAAGAACCAGTAGTCAGCAGGCAGATAACACCTTACTGGTGGCTGTCGAGGCCCCGCGTCTGCGACGGACGTGGAGGGTAATGGACAACTGCGGCGTGCTACCGGTCAAGCACTCTCCTTACTTCAGGACCAGAACGAAGCGAACCCTACGAAGGGTGTTTCGCGAGGCCATGCTTGCGGTCTCTGTTCAAACCGAAGTGCTGCACCGTGCGATCGCTGTCTTGCCGTCATTTGAGGCCTCCGAGAGGATTCTGACGTGGCTGCTTATGTTGCCGGCAAACAACTGTGCGGGCGCAGGGAGGCCCTCGGAAGATGGGCGAACTCATCGAGAAACTTTGTCAGCGAGAACCGATGTCAAACAGTCGGGCGTCCGTGCTGCCGGAGAAGAATGGAGCTCGAGCGTTCTCAGCACGCCAAGAGTGCGCGAGAGGGAAGGTAGGTTCCATCGACAACTGTAGTCTGTTTTCGGGGCTACCCGAATCAGCAGAAGATGGAGCGGTTGCACCCTTCCTCTCGTGTCTACAATGGAAGCTGTTGACGTCCCAACCGAAATGTCATGTCACCCGAGACCCGAAAAAACCGCTCGACCATAGGTCTTTCATCTCGATCTTCATTCCGGCTGTTATCGAAACCCATATTTTCGCCGGACCATAAATAATCGGATTGGAAACACAGACATCTGGTCGACGAACTAAGCCTGGTGTCTCGACGTACGAATACGCTGCACTGAATCGTGCAAGTGAACTGTCTTCTAGAGCCGTAGCCTTCAAGGCACTTGAGTCGTCAACAACTTCCAACAAACACGATCAGGTACGTCCCTGCCCAGGGCTGCTAGCTTGAAAACTTGTTTAACAGATGACGTTGAGGGTTTGCTTCTGGTAGCCGATGTAACGACATCGCATTAAGACCCGTTTTGCTAAACCGCCCACGGGACACCCATGAGTCACCCATGGGCTGCCCATGGGTACTTCATGGGCCGCCCATGTGCTGCCCATGAGTGACTCATGGGCATGCCCATGGACGGCCCATGAAGTGTCCACCGTGAGCACTTCAACCTAGAATTGCGCCACCAGCATGTCAACCTAGACCTCAGCTTGCCCTTCAACCTAGAACTTAGCCACCAGCGCCAACCTAGCATGTATCGTGTGGGCTTAGGGTTAGGGTTAGGGTTAGGGTTATTAGCCGCTATAATGCCCGTTCCAAAGCAGGTAATCTATTGCTTAGGAGCACACTAGTTCCGGTAGAAGGGTTCTTATTGGCCGCCCATCGGCTTCCCATGGGTCAACCATGGGCAACAAAGTGCCCATGGGCGGTCCATGGGTGTTCCGTGGGCGTTTTAGCAAAACTTTAGAATGGGTGGGAAACCCGGCCAAGCCAGGGTCCTCTGGAGACCTGCTGGTGTTCGGAAGACTCTTGGTTCACCCAAGGGTGTTCCACATGTAGACCTGGCGTTGAACACGGAAATCGATGGGCTCGAGGGACGTCGGCAATCCTTTCGAAGAACTGATAGCGCTTTCGACGATCATGCCGAAAGCACTGAATACTCCCATAGAGCAGTGAGCATCTATTGAAATTGTTTGTGTGTGTACACGGCAGGATACAATTATCCGAGATCTCCGAGGGGGTTACGCAGATGAGATAGATATGGGTATGATAGACAGACTTGGTGCAGCAGGCTTTGCCTCTTCTTGCTCACGTCTGTCACTCGTTAAACCCTCTAATAATCAAGGAACTTGAGTCACTCCTTTGTGCAACACGCTCTCGACAAGAGCCCGCGAGCGTGATAACATAGTACACGCGCCGACACCCCAAACACGATCGTCGATGGGGGGAACGGCCGGGACGCCGTCAGCTGCAGGAACGGTGGCACTGGAGGTTTCGTCGACCTGCGGCCAGATACCCCCCGCCGTATCAACTGGGGGGGCGATCGCAGTGCCCACATCGGCAGCTACACCGGCACGAGCAGCGCAAGAAGCGGAGGACGCGTGCGATGAGGATGGCTGTTGGTTGGACAATGGCGGCGAAGGCGGCAACAGCAACGGCGGCAGCGGCGACGGCAGCTTCGTGGCGTTGTCTGCGGGTGCGGGTGCGGGTGCGGGGCATCCCGGCGCCCATCCGACCGTGTACAATGGTATCTGCGTGGTGCGGGACGATGGGGGGTAATGCCAGGGCTGGACATTCGATCGTGGCTGGAAGGGTGCGGCATGAATTGAGAGGCTACGTGTTCGGGAGCTACCGTGCGAGATGACCGGTGGTTGCACCATGAGTCTAAGCGCGATTCAGGCACGTTCGTGAGAATTATGTTCATTTGGTTTTTCTATTTTCTGGGTCGATTTTGTTTGTTGAAAGCCATGAGTTTGAGAACTGCGTCGACGTAGGCTGCTGTGTTGCGATGCGCACGAACGAAAGTGGTGTTTATGGTCTGTGGTACACGTGTTTTTCATTTGTCAAGGATATGGTGTGCATAGTCTAGGACTTCACCGCGCCGAATGGTGCAGTTGATGTTGTTGGGTCACTGCTAGCACTGCTGTCGAAAATCATGGGGGGGGATGAATGTGATGCTCAGATGCCATGATCTTCGCCGCAGTACAAGCAGAGTTCTAGCGGACGTTCGGGTTTGATTGTTCATTTTGTTCACGTTTTCCGCGTTTTACCTGCGGAAAATGAGGAGAAGCCCTCAATTCTTGTTTGTTTGCGATTCCGCGTTTACCTGCGGAGTTTGAGGCAACTTCATGATACTTGTCTGATTCCTCGTTGCTAGGATAAGAAATTCATTTATTTCTTGTTTATTCGCGATTCCGCGTTTTTCCCGCGGAGTTCGGAGGTAACTTCATGATATTCGTTTGATTTCTCGTTGTTTGGATCCGAGAGTTGTTGCAGCAGGGGGGCTGTTAGCGTTTGTGTTTTGGGAGATGATGCAGCAGGGGGGCTGTTAAATTTTTATGTTTTGGGCGATGATGCAGCAGGGGGGCTGTCAAGAAGTCCATGTCTGGATGTTTGAGAAACGGCATAATAATTGGCGAAAGTTTCCTCTGGCGTCTTTGAACGCCGGGTTTTTAACGTTTGTCTAATTGTGCCGCATGTATTAGGTATTGATGACTGTTCTGAACGATGTATTGGAGGAAGGATTTGACATATTTTGGTAAGACATGGTTGAGGCCTATGTGCTTCCGAAGCTTAGTTCAAATTGGTCAATGAGTTGAAACACAGTTTTGTGCGAGGGTTTTGTTCGAGGTATTTGTTGACGCGTTTTGCCAGAGTTGTCCGTCCAGAGTCTTTATGACGTGGCTCTGATGTAATGTTGATCTTTGCTGAGTAATATTCCAAGGATAAATCTTTGTGTTTGACTACTTGAGAATGTGGTGACGACATTTTCCCGAGAGGGGTGCTTGTTAAGACTCTTAGTGAAGTTCCATAGTCGTAGGAGGAGTAGTAACCTGAAACTTGAATATTCGATAGATCCGGGAGTTGAGATGATTTATTTGTCGATACGAAAGATGAATGGTTTTTAGATTTGTTGCCGTTTTACCTGGCGTTATGTACGGAGGATCTCGTAGATCGTATCTCGTACCGAGTAGGGGGGCTGTTTGTGTGTGTACACGGCAGGATACAATTATCCGAGATCTCCGAGGGGGTTACGCAGATGAGATAGATATGGGTATGATAGACAGACTTGGTGCAGCAGGCTTTGCCTCTTCTTGCTCACGTCTGTCACTCGTTAAACCCCTCTAATAATCAAGGAACTTGAGTCACTCCTTTGTGCAACACGCTCTCGACAAGAGCCCGCGAGCGTGATAACATAGTACACGCGCCGACACCCCAAACAGAAATAATTCCTATGAAAACGATCATGTCTCTCTGTGTTGCAGTACCCCACGATTTGTATTTCAAAGGTACTTCCTTGCTTGGGCAGGCGAGCGAAAGTCATGCGCTCTCGGGAGACCACACAACTGTCCCTCATCTCAACGAGGGCTATGGCCAACCGAGAGATGCGCACTTGCAAGGCGGAACGGGATCGCGCTTTTGCTGAGCTTGTGCACGGAAGGTTGTTTACCCGCACAGGTGGGATCGTTCGCACCTGGACGGCTATCATCGCCAACATCAAGCGCCTCTTGTTCTTGGTGAGTTCTGTACATGCAAAAAAATCACGTTATGTACGCACTACTCGTTATTTTTCTCGACTCTGCACTCTCTCCTTCGAAAAACACCTCAGACTTCAGTGTTGTCCGCAAAAGGTTTGTTGCGTGCGCTATTCCCGAGGTCATGATGGCCATTATTCCCAACTATAGGCTACACATGATGAGAAAATGCCACATATTGTGCATGGCGCGGACGATAACGATATCTCCATTTGCCTGCGATCGTACGGCATTGTGTCAGCAAGGAGCGGTGGAGAGGGCCGCCCGTCAACATCTGTTGGAAGCGAACATGAAGTGAGACAAGTTCCAAGTTCGAACGGGGATAATCTGTTTTCCTTTCTGTTATCGGCCAAATCAGAGCCACAATAGTCTGCAGATGGATTGGGGCGGTTTGGCACATCACCTAGGCATCGAGATATGTCAGGAAACGGTACTCCAGTCGAACTCTCCTGAATCGCATTCACATCCTTGCTTGTCCCGTCAATGCGCTTCATGCCCCGTTCTGTTTCCCGTTTCTTACGGCACCACACAGCCGCATGGCCATCGTAACAAGGTTCATGAGCCAGATGGCCCTCAAGCGTCGGCGCAATAGAGCGGTTAAGATTATCATCGGGGCTCTGAGCGCGTTTACCAACTCGAACGCCATCGGCCGCTACGCTCAACGGGTCAATTGGGGTACTCGACACCTCCAGGCCGTGGTGAGACGGCGCATGGCCTGCATGACGTCCCACCTCACACTTCTCAATCGGCACTGGGACCGCCTGTACCCTCCTGTTCCTTTGCCGCTGATGACAACGGCGATGCTAAGACCGCCATCCAAAGCTTCACTGCCCCCGTCACGACCTGGAACAGCAGAGACGACCCCGGCAACATCAAATTCGCCGAGCAGCAACAAACGCCCAAATCGGCGAAAAGGCGCCGGGGGGCAGGGGGGCCAAAAGAAAGGAAGAACCCGTCCGAAGCGCCAGAAGAGCGTGGTCGGTCGAGAAAAGAAGGTCGAAAATGATACTGGTGGTGGTGGCGGCCAGGGTTCCGCACGTGCAACACTTGCGTCGACGGTGCCAGAGACGGCTGACAGCACTAGTGCGCCCCCCAAGAACGCGTTGCAACCCAGGAGGCCCCCTGTGTACGTCTCAAGCGAGGCGAAGCACAGAGAGATACTTTCATGGCTGCAGAGGACGAGGGCAAAGCATTGCAGGGACGTCATCAACTACGAGCGTTTCACGGTACGACCCCTAGCGAAAGCTTGAGCCACCTGTTCTCCCACCAGCGATGGTTTCCTAGGTTTGGTAGCGCCCAGCTGCGACAACGTGGGTAAGACAAATCGAAAACACGTGTCCCCGACAATGTGTGGTGCGCGCTTGCGCGGCTGTTCGATGTCGTCCCGCATGAGTGTTTCGGGAGCGTCGCCGGATGCTGTATTTTTATTCTCTCTCTCGCCTCTCTCGATCAGACTCTACACCATTCGGTCTCGCCGAGCATTGAGATAGTCTTTTAATGAATTTCATGATGTTTGACGCCTGTCGCTCTTTCGACCCGAACAAACAATATATACACGACTTACAGAGAAGGCGGTGTCCCTCAATCACTCAGTGTTGGGCGCGACTTGCGTGTTTGGCTGATCAGTCTTGTTCTTCCCTCGAACTCCCACTGAATCTGAAATGCACGAAGATATTCCCATGTATGGTGGAGCTGCTGCTGCAACACGAGCGAAGGACGTACGGCACCCGCCTACAAGCCGTCAAGCACGTCATCGCTCTCCGAAGCTTCGGGCGGCTTTCTCGAGTCTGGACGGAAGGCGGCTACTTCGCCAAAATGTCGCACGTCTTGCCCCCGCCGTCGCGCATGCCGAGGGTGTTCACGCCGGAGGAGGGCGACGAGATGCTCGACCGCGCGGCCGCCAGGTAGTGCTGCTGTCGGCGGAGTAGGCGGCGGCATAAAAGTTTTCCAATTCACGTAGACGGTGGAAATTAGTGCCTCACGCATAGATTAGGTAATGGCATGTCCGTGTTTGAGGAAAGTCCAACGTCTGTAGTCGCCTAAAACGCGGGTATGCATGTTTCGTCTGGAGCCGATTTGGACGGAACGAGAGCGGTGAACCACTGGAGAACATGCTAATGCAAAAAAACAGAAGAGAATCCGTTTGTTGACTGCATTCATCAACGATACGACTATGCACTTGCACGGCTTTAATTGTTGCAGATCAACGACACCATCGTTCACACATGCTGCTGCGAGTTTCCTCGAAGGTGGGCCTGAGGCCCACGGAGCCCCACAATCAGGAGCCGCGGCTGGCGGCACAATGCCGCCGGAAGCGGTATTGATCGAGGTGGAAGCCGCGGCAACTGCGGCGGCGGAAGCGGCAAGAGCAGGGGAGGCGGCCGTGAAAGCCGTCTTGGGGAGCGGGAGCGGAGCAGGGTGATAGTTCGACGTTCGTTCTTGTTGTATTCCGTTGTCAAGGAATACCATCGTACGTTCTGTTTAACGATCTGTCTTTCCTCGCCAAAGAAACTTTGATCTGGACAGCGTTTAGGCGAGCTCCCTGCTTTCTGCCTTTCCAACTCGCCGAATTGTTTTGCCTCGTTGACTTTTGGTGATTGGCACACATCCATCAATCTTCTTCAGGATGCGGGTAAAATGGAGGAGAGCGATCCCCCGTGATGAGGAATGGTTTATTTCAGGAAAAATCTCTCGCACTTCTCAGCGGAACACCAGTCAGGAGCTGGCATGGTCGCCTAGCAGGCGTGTGTGTCGTGTTGGAGTAAAAGTTTTACATGTCTGCCATCCTTTTGTCTTTGGTCCTGTTTTCCACACGAACGGTGTCCGCCGTCCGTTGTGGGTGAGAGATACTTTCGCACGCGGGGTCCGCCATGTGTGTGTGTCATATTGCACGTTTTTCCTGCGAAAACATCTGATGTCCGCCGTTATTCTGTCACCAACAGATAGCGCAAAGGGGGGTCCACCTTCACGGCACGTGGTGTCTGCCACGCTCCGGGATGAGATCGTATCAAAGCAGTCATTTGTCGGAGATATCTTTGTTACTGGGTCGGAAATCTGGCTGCCACCTTTACATACCTGAGGCGCCAACGGCATCGAACAGGAGCTCCAGCACTCGCTTGTAGGGTCCTCCTACTGTCAGCAGCGGCGATCGAACCCGCTTCACGTTCGTTCCCCCTCCTTGCATGTCGGCCCCACTTCATGAAAGCTGGGCCCTCACCGTCCCCGGTTTGTCGCCGCGACCTCATCCTCTTCCAGCCCCTCCTCCTCGGCCCCCGATGCTGTACCTGGGTGGCGGGGTGCTTGAGTCGCTCGCGGGGCGGCGGTCGGGCGAGCCGCTGGTGGCGGAGTTCCCCCCGCAATCGGAAATATTGTCCGTTTAAATTGTGGGTTTCGGATCGCGCCCTCCGTAGTTGGGGGAGGGTGTTGCACTACCGGAGAGCCCTGGCGTCGGCGGTAAGACCGCTCACGGTATCAGCCCAAACCAGCTTGGCGTCTTCTTAAACTTCGCCAGGGCGTCGGGCACAGGACCCTTTAACCCTGCCAAGAAAGTGCGAGAGAAGAATATTCATTCGCGGAGCGCATCAGAGATTCGGCCAAGTAACCTGAAGAATTAGCTGCAGCAGCGGTAGGAAGACAGGGTGGTGATGTTGTGGGCCTGCTGGCCGTGTGTCCCACTTACTCTGCTTGCTCATGGACACGTATTGACGGTAACCACCAACAATACTCCACCTCACACGTTATCCCAAAAGTCACGTTTGAAGAACCTCCGGAGCATACCTTTGGATCTTCAGTACCCTCCGAGAGAGAGATAGATGGCCCTGAGAAGGGATGTTGTTGATATTGTTGTTGACTTCACACAACAAGTTCGGTCCGGTCTCTATTATAGTCAGTACCAAGTACCTTCTAAATCTTCGTAGATCCAACTAACTGACTCGGGAGTCTTCCATGGTCGCAGACAGCTATTCCCTAGAGGTACAATTTTCTGATATAGACGTGTAGACAATTATGCTTGAGCTCTCGAGCGCTGAGAGCGCAGAACCGGAGCGCTGAGAGCGCGGCGGCCAGTTAAGGCTCCACACTAAACCCGAGACGTTAGCGCCGATTCTTCCGCGGGCCCGCCACAGAGCTCCGGCGGACGTCTCCTCTTCAGGGCGTCCCCAGCAAAGTCTTTCCACGGCCGCCCGCCCGTCGCGGGGCTGAGCTTTCGCGCGCCCCCAGCACTGCACCACCGCGAAGAGCGCCCAAATCGGGCGAAACCGGCCGATTCCCCGCTGCGTTCCGGAGAGTCTACGCCGGGCTGTTCGTTCATAAAGGATTAAGGACTCCGATTGGAGGGCTTTCGGCGGAGAACCTCAACATCGAGTAACGTCTCTTGTCTTGTGTTGTCAATTATTTTCCGTTTGTTCCTGAATATAGGTGTTACGTATGTGTGATGACGTCACTGGTTTTGTAGAGAGACGCGGCAGAGATGGCGCTGATAACCCGGGTGCCTTAATTGTGTACCTGCATCGTGGAAGACCCCTTCAATGTGGAACGATTCCTAGACAGTGTCGATGTTTACACTGCTGTATCTAACACAGATGATCTGGATAGATTCTGGCGATTGTCAATTGCAATGATGGCTTTTTGGTTGGTTGTTCTTCTTCATTGTATGTCCACGGACCCATTCTGACAGCACTTCAGACAGCAGCTGCATGCCCCGAGCTTGTTGTGTACCATACACCATGGTGTTATTTTTGTACAGACAGCACTTCAGACAGCAGTACGCTGTAGTCGACAAACATTCATTTTGGTGAAGTGCGGGACAAGGGGGGTGATGCCGCTGCTGTAGTCGAATTGTAGTGTGCGGGCGTGTAGTTCAGTTGTGAGCACGCAAACGTGCTGCAGGGATTGATTGTAGGTGTACCTCCTCGGGCTTGTGTACCCTTTTCTTGCTAATAGTTTGCGTGTTCTTTAGATCTTCTGATGGCTCTAGCATTTTTGTGACCACAGGCCGAGTCTTTGCTAGATTTTGGGATTAGCAACTGACACGAGTTTAATGTGAAGAAAACAACAACAACGTCATCACCCATTCTGTTCTCGACGGGCCTTTTTTCTCCCTCTTCGCAAACGTAATCAACGCTGAGGCCACACCAGCAGCAGCAGCATACAGCAGTACACGTGTGACGTATCTCCAGCCCACAGTTTCAAGTTTGAACGCTAACTAGCCTACAATTAGCAGGCTGAGCATATACACACAGGTACTCGCACGTCAACGCACGCGCACGACCAAGTCCATGTACTACAATACGTACATGGCATATTTGACTCCTTACGCGCCTAAAGTATACCCCGTGCGTGCGTGTAGAAGACGAGATTGATGATGGTCTCTATCTGGGAGTGTTTTGTTGCTGATGATGGTTGAAATACACCGAAATGGAATGTTGAGGTACGTGCCGTATCCTGTTGACTTGACCCGGACAGCATTTCACTCACCAAGGCTTTTCATTGGCACACCATTTGAATGCGAACACAACACAACAATATACAGCAGAAATACATGCATCATCCGATATGTGTACATCATGTACACTACACGTGCTTTGTCTCTAAGCTGTTGTGTACACATTCGACCCGCACCACTCATCTCACGGCATGCGTGCCTATAGTAGCATACAGCAACTAACTATTATGGTCTACTAGGGTTAAGGATTGGCCCCCCGCCCCCCAATGGGGCTGTGGGCCAACATCCAGAACGGATATGGTGGTGAGTGTCCGGGAGGAAGGGAAGAAGAAGAAGAAGGGGAGAGGATTTGTAAGGGCGGGAAGAAGGGACGGTGTTGGGAGAGGCAAGGAAGTGATGAAGAATTTCGGCACTCGACGAGCGCGCGGTCCTGTCGGGGATGAAAGGAACATGTCAGTCCGTAGTCTTGTGTCTATCGGAATCGAAAAGCCGAAAAATGGAGGTATTGTACATTATGTACACAACGACGGAGAAGGCCGACGAGGAAGGTACGAAGAGAGGAAATTGCACCCCACGTTCGAAGTCGGTGTGAAAACCGCGGCAAGGATGGAGTGCGAAGGGAACAAAAAAAAAACGGAGACGTCGACGTTTGCGTCGTGGAGCGATCCTTCTGTATATCGCAGGTACTCACCAACGCAAGACGGGGAGGTTAAATACCCATCGTGAAAGTCAAAGCGCAGGTCATAGCTGCATATGACTCATGCGCGGAGAAGTTACCACACGGAGACTGATCAACAAGAAGTTTGAAGACCGGCTGAGAAGGTTTGAAGACACAAACACTTACGCGGCGACGATGGCAAGCGCCACGTCAAGACTTCACAAGAAGAAAAAAAGTGCATACAAAAAAAGAAAAGGCCGGATGGCGACCTACGACTCTCTCTCTCAGAATGAAGGGATTCCCACAATTTCCAACAGGTAGTCCACAAGTATCGAGGAGGACGTCGGAACGGTTTTTAATGTGGAGACAACAGCAACAACAACAACGATGAAGGTCGACCCGTCCTGCGTCGTTCAGTGTAAAATGATAAATGCAAAAGGTGGACTGCGTAAAGATCCAGCGGTCTTTTTCGGCAGTGGCAAAGAAATATGCGACCACATGCCGCGAAAAAAAAAAAAGTTGAGCGGAATTACTCTATTATAGTAAATAGAACACCGCCTTCTCTGTTGTTGCAGGCAGGTTTGCTTCCACAACCCGGGAGTCCAACCCACTCTTGTATTTCGGCCTACAAGACTCCAATCGACACAAGCACCGGTAGGAGAGTGCGTGGGAGATGCCGTGACATCACAACTCCACTCTCCTACGACATCTATGTACAGTAGTACTGCTGTCGTTGTAGCATGCATGTGGAACATCTCCGAGGCGTCCTCCTGCGCGGTAACGACAAGATGGCGAGAGCTCTACGTGTACCTGTCGTCGACACATGTGGCAGCCGCGCGATACACGAACGGATGTTTGCATCGCATTGTACTATGGTTCGCCGTGGCAAGAAGTATCCCATCCCGTTAGGTCGTTGCGGTACTTGTAGCACGCGGACGTCGTTCGGCGTCTAGTCCATACTGCTGTAGCAAAAACACAGCAGCAGTAATCGAGCTATGCATGAAATTTTTTGCTCTGGTTCACTTTTGCCTCCACAACACGAGAATCCCACTGCTGTATCTCGACCTACAAGACTCCAATCAACAAACCAGCACTGGCAGAAGTGCGTGGAAGATGCTGTGACAGCACAACTAAGTCGACACTCGTACGACTTCCATGTAAAGTCGGCGTCTGGTCCATACTGCTGTAGAAATTAAAAAATCGAGCCATTTTTCTTTTATTTTTTTCCATACTAATAACAAGAAATGTGTCACGTCACGACGACCATCCTGTAAGTATATATACTAGGGTTAAGGATTGCCCCCCCGCCCCCCAATGGGCC